TATTTTTCTATTTTTAGTAGAGACAGGGTCTCAGTCTTGCTCAGGCTGGTCTTGGACTCCTGAGCTCAAGCAATCCACCCACCTCGGCCTCCCAGAGTGCGAGGATTACAGGCGTGAGCGACAACGCACTTTCATTTTTTCTGACCATAGTTTCTTTTTCTTTTTTCTTTTCTTTTCTTTTTTTTGAGACAGAGTCTCATGCTAGCACCCTGTGGAGAGTGCCATAGCATCAGCCTAGCTCACAGTAACCTCAAACTCCTGCCTCAGCCTCCCAAGTAGCTGGGACTATAGGTACCTGCCACAACACTGGGCTAGTTTTTCTATTATTAGTAGAGATGGGGTCTCACTCTTGCTCAGGCTGGTCTCGAACTTTTGAGCTCAAAGGTTCCTCCCACCTTGGCTTTCCAGACTGCTAGGATTATAGGCGTGAGCTGCTGCACCCAGCCCTGACCTTAATTTCATGGTCTCCAAGGAGGGGACGCTCGTGTCCTTTGGAAGATACTTCTGAGATTCCCTGAACTCCTTTCTCATTACACTCCTCCAGACAGGTTTCTGAAAAAGCCAAGTCCATGTCCTAGGCATATTCTAATGCTTCTTTTAGAAAACCTGTGACTTCTTGGATTCCTGGGATTCTCTGGTTAGTTTCAAAGCCATAGCTGGCCTTGTGCATTTGCCCTCCTTTGGTAACCCTTCACTCACAGATGCACAGGTGTATGTAGGCATACTCACACACACACTCAAATGCACATACACAGACACACACTCCCCTCTCCACCTCTCCAGTGAATCTTGGTTCTTTACTCTCCAGGCCATAGTTAATAACATCAGTCTGAACTATATAGCCCGTAGAGAACTGCTGGAATAAAGTAAAGCCGAGAAAGGGAATTATGAGAAGACATGAACAATTATTTCCAATGAGAATAAGAAAATGGGCATAGACTTCAGCAGAAAAATATCAGGGTATATATTAGGAGGAATTTTCTAATTGTTAAGAGTCAAGATCTTTGGGCATAAAGTAGTCTCCGCTAATAATTTTTTGAGAAAGAATTAGACAGCATTCTGTCTCAGAGAAATACAGTGCTAATAGCAACATAGCTCAGAACTCAGTCTCTCAGCTGTTTTCCAAATGTCTTTTCCCCAAGACTCTGTGAAGGGAGAGAACCAAATTGAGACCGTCAAAGACTAGTCTTAGAAAACCCAGGCTCTGCTTTGGGGCTCTAGGCTTTGGTTCATAGCCCTCCTGGCACCTGAGGAGGAGAAAGACCTTGGGCCTCAGGGGAAGCCAGACCTCCCCAAGGTCAGTACAATTTGCACCTCACTTGACTGCGGATGTGTGAGAAGAGATGAGCCTGCAATGAGCCTGCATAGTAACATCTTAGCAAAGGGTCAGGTTGCGGCCTGGGTGTTTAGAGAACTTGCTGCTGACCGGGCATCTGGAGCTGTCAAACCTGCCACCTAGGCGCTTTGTCAGCTGCTTTGGCTTCACACCCATCCTCCACCCTCCCCCTGGGTGTGCGGAAGCCTCCTGAGAGCAGAATCCTCACCTATCCGTCCTCAGAGAGTCTGGACCATCCCAGACTTAAGTTTTATCATCTTGTCAGAAAATCCCACTGATAAGCAAAGAACTGGCATGGGAGCCCTCCAGGGAGAGTGAGACCCCGTCCTAGGTTCTGGCAGCCTTCCTCCTCTGTGCCTCTGCCCCAGCTGGGGCTCCTCTCTATCTCGTCCTCCCTGAATTCCCCCACCTCAATTTATTTTCCACGAAGACCTATTTCGTTGATTTTTCTCTTTAGTTCAGGTGTTCTGGCTGTGGTCCCATTGGCAGGCAGGTGAGTGGACACATAGGCCATGCTCAGAGGACAGGCCCTTCAGGCATACAGTCCTAGATATGCAGGCAGGTGCCAGGCACAACTTCTCAGCTAACTGGGAGTTTCCTCTGAGCCCTTCCTCTCTGGTCTTCTCCTTGTTCTGGGTGCTTATTCGGGCCCTTCACAATGCTGTCTGTAGGCTGCACAAGGAACAGCAGAGCCGCCTTCTCTCCAGCCCTCCCCCAGCAAATGTGAAAGGTTATCTCCCCATCCAATGGTAGGAACCAAGTCTGACAAGACACGGTTTGGACCCTCCTTTCCAATTACAGCCCTCTTTTTCAAATAACCCTTAAGTCATATCCGCCTGTTTTCAACTCCTTGGTTGCTTGCCAAGATGGCCACAGGAGAGGAACACATCACACAAATACTTCTTCTGTTCTCTATTCCCCACCCCCTCCTAAACAGAGCAGGGTCGGTCACTTGGCTGCTGGACCTCTGTCGCTGTAGTGTTCTTGCTGAGGCGGTCGACCCCTGAGCATACAATCACTCAAGTCCCCTCATCACATATTCCTGAGGGGCAGTCTGAGGCACAGCCAAGGTGAACACACAAGCCACACAGCAAAAATGGAAACTAGAGAAATAAAATGGACAGCGTGCATGGTGTATTTGCACTTACGGTCATTCACGAAGGCTAAGGGATCTCCTTTAGGGAGACTGTGGGAGGAAAGTTCTCCAGACAATGCTCTACAAATTGAGGTGTGGAAAGAACACAGTAGAACCTCCATTTATTTTATTTTATTTTTAGACAAGATCTCTCTGCGTTGCCCAGACTGGAATGCAGTGCCTACTCACAGGCGCCATCATTGCACACTGCAGTCCGGAACTCCTGGACTCAAGTGATCCTCCAGCCCCAGCCTTCTGAGTAGCTGGGACTACAGGCACACCCAACTATTTTATTTTAAATTTCATCATTGAAATTGTTGCTTCATATAATGTAATAAACAGTTCAAAACATAAGTAAACACATAGTGAAGAGTCAAGAGCGTATTTACAGGGAGATGTTTGTTATCAGAAAATTTGGAATCCACTATCAAGTACTCATACTGTTTGCCACAGGAATGTACCAGGGGTGAAGTTCTTCCAACTGCCGGGCATAAACGTGGCAGGATGCCTGGGCTGTTGGTGAGAAGTGAGGTACTTTCACATTCTACTTAAGATAACAGCAGCCGGTGACTGTCTCTGCCCGAGAAAGGAGGAGACAGCAGCCCTGAGAATGCCAGAAAATGGTGTCAGTCTCAGGCAGGCCACCAAAGGAACCCAGGTGGGATGTTTGCACTTTGGCAGCAAGACTGCCTGAGGTGTCCCGAGAGGAGAAACACACACTGGGTCTTCATTCCCAAAACTTACACTCAGCATTTTCCTGAGCATCTCCTGTCTTCATCCTGGAAGCCAATAAATGTTATCTAATCTTCATTCTCTATTGGGACATGCCTGGGGGATCAGGGGAAAGTGAGTGGTGGACCTAATCTTTCCCAGATTCTGTTTGTACAAAGTGATCCTCCACAAACTGGAAGAACACCAAGCTGGCGCCAGAGTGGGGCAGCCGCACAGAAGAAGGGGCTCAGAGGGCTGCTCCCTCTGTGATGACGTCAGTGCTGCCTGGAGGCAGGAGCACGGAAAGTATTCTCCTGAGTCTCCTCCAAACTGGGAGGTCAGGATTAACATTGAAAGTGGCCTTGGCCAGGAGCAGTAGCTCACACCTGTAATCCTAGCACTCTGGAAGGACAATGCAGTGAATTGCGTGAGCTCACAAGTTCGAGACCAACCTGAATAAGAATGAGACCCCATCTCTACTAAAAATGAAAAAAAAAAAAAATAGATAAACTTGCCAAGTGTGGCAGTTCACTCCTGTAGTCCCAGCTACTTGGGAAGCTGAGGCAAGAATATTGCTCAAGCCCAAGAGACTGAGGTTGCTGTGAGCTATGGTGACACAGCACTCTACCCAGGGCAACAGAATGAGACTCTGTCTCAAAGAAAAAACAAATATATATGGCTTAGCCCAGTGGCTCATGCCTGTAATCCCAGCATTCTAGCACTCTGGGAGGCTGAGGTGGGTGGATTGCTTGAGCTCAGGAGTTCAAAGTCAGCCTGAGCAAGAGTGAGACCCCCATGTCTGCCCAAAATAGAAAAACTAGGTTGGCATTGTGGCAGCACCTGTAGTCCCAGCTACTGACTGGGGAGGCTGAGGCAAGAAAATTGCTTAAGCCCAGGAGTTTGAAGTTGCTGTGAACTATGATACCACGGCACTATTCAGGGTGACAGAGTGGGACTGTGTCTCAAAAAAAAAAAAAAAAAAGGATCATTAAGGACAAATGTAGAAAAGGGGTGAGGTGGAAAGACAAAATCTGCACACAAAATCTCACCTGATGAAAAGTCAGTACTTGAGAGTTACAGACTAAAGAAGCAGTAGGCTTGCACTTTAGTGCTCTTTCTGCCAACTAACACTCTCTAGGACAGTTTTTTATCTCATAGCACGTTTGAACCTATAGTGAAACTTTTGTTCATACTTAAATTATGTTGATCGGCTCAGGGCCTGTGGCTCAAGCGGCTAATGCGCCAACCATATACACCTAAGGTGGCGGGTTTGAATCCAGCC